TTGCACAGGAAAAGCAAGAAGAGAACACATCACTCAAAAGGACATAAATCACCTACGTATCCCCAGCCCAGGAGGGGAAGGAACTGTGCCACTCCCATATTTGCTCCCCCACCATATTCCAAAGTGAAGCTGGATGTGAGTCCACTTGGGGACTCTAGGAAGACCCAAAAGTCCAGCACATTCTCTTCCCGGAACATCTCTATAAACAAAGCAGGCACACATTGATATCAATTGTTCCCAGGGGACTCAACTTCCACCTGCTGGTAAGCAAGTCTGTCAACCTCTCTGCAGGTCTGTGTCCTCAGCTAGACAGGAAGGGGATCCAGAAGGACTCCACTGCTGTCCCTTCCAAACCCCAAGTGTCTTAAGACTTCTTGGTTGGGATTATAAAGGAGGCCCTGCTAAGTATATGACATCCTTGACAGCCTTAGTAACTAGACATGGTCTAGCTAGCATGGGCTCTGGGTTCAAATCCTCACACTGCCTTCTGAGGCTGTTCAAGACTTTGGCTAGATTTCATGACCCTCCATGTTACAGTCTTTCTATGTATAAAAACTAGGAGCAAAATGTTTCAGGGTTGTAATAAGGATTAAATGAGATAATACAAAGGAAGCATGTAGACTAATGTCAATTATGGAAGATAAATCTTTTTCATCATTATCATTCTTATTTTCTTGATTACCTGTTCTTGACATTTTTCTACCAAGACATATAATCTTTGTGACAATCACCATTACGACATACTTCCATGGCAGGGACAGAGATGTAGAAAAGAACCAGAACTGTCAGAGTGGAAGACTTTTCTGTGTGAGATACTTATAAAAAGCATTTTATACCAGCATGACAGGACCCATAAGCAGTTCGTGTGCAGAAGTACAACACTAAGGAGCTCAAACAGGAGTAGGGACTGGTACACCTCCAGGGCCAGTCACAACCACAGAGGAAGCAAACAAGTGAGCTCTTGTTATTCTAGGGATAACACTGTAAGGCTGACTTCTTAAGTATATTGCAAACAGCAATACTGAACTCTTACTAGTAATAAAATATTTGGGCTACACCTCACCCCTGAGCTCATGGACAATAGGGTAGAGAAAAGTTCCTTTTCCATTCTCAGCAGGGCCAAGGTCCAGCAGGCATTAACACAGGCCTGGCAGTGGAGGTGACAAAGAGACAGTGCCAATTTCCAAGGAGAACGGCTCCCTCCAAACCTGACACAATAGCTTATACCTCTTGCCTCTCCAGACTTTCGAGGCTAGACAAGGAGCCCCAAGAGGAAGGCCCCGCTCTGATTCCAGAAGGCTGTGTGTGTAGGCAAGAGAGTCGATTCCTTCAACCCTTCTTACGCATCCATACAACATACAGAACAAAGTCAGAGAAAGGTACAATAATTCTGGCAATGGAAAAAATAAAATAGCCTAAATGGGCAAACACAGCTTAAGTCCCCACTCTCGGCTGAGAGCATGGTCGCAGTACTAAAGGCTCCTGGGACTCACCTTGGCGGCTTTCCAAGAGCTATTAGCTATTAGTTTGCATTAACACACTGAAAGAGAAGGTCAGATAAATTAAAAGTGAGAAGGTAATTCAGAGAAAGGACATCTTCATACTAGGCGACAGCAGAATGCATGACACATGGTAAAGACTGGATATATACTGAGTGCACTTACAGACAACATCAGGGTCACACATGCATTTGTGTTAGTGATATGGACACAGGCTGTAAAGTGCATACAAGACAATAGCTTAGCTGAGAAACTTCATAAAACTTTAAGGGTTGAGAAGATCTTTACTGAATTTTCAACAGAAATTTCAAAGTATAGCCATCTTCGGACTATTAGGAGTGACTCTATACTTCAAAGCAATTATTCACTTTAAAGGCAGCCTGGTCAAACCTGCACTGACAAGTTCCAAATGCTCCACTGTCACCTACATGGCAATTCTGCCCCTACGAAATATAAAATTTTTACCTCCCTTTTTTTAAAGTACCTGTATTCTGGAACATACATACTTTCCTTCAGTCAAAACTATCCATCACCTGTTCACCTGGCACCAGGATACATACTTCTACAAACTGTCAGTCACCATAGCAACCCCCCAGAGACAAACCTGAAGGAACCACTTTCCTGAGACTCACTATAATAGCATCAACATAGACAGCCACCCCACCCAGCCCCCACCACCCCTCATAGAGCCAGGAGGACAGGACAAACAGGAGGACAAGAGAGAAGAAAATGAATCCCTGATGCTCTTTAAGCCTCTTGGAATCGCTTAAAATCCCAGTCAGGATAATCACAGAGTGAGAGAGGGTACACACTTCCAAGCCCAGAGGGTATTGATGACTATTCTTTGTGATTTTCCTGACAAAACTTATTCCATTGTGACCCTGCAGTGACTTGAACCCCCAAACCTGTGGAACATAAGGAAAAGGTCAAATGTCAGTTTGCTATCTGGGACAAGTACTGAGCAGCTATACTTCTCAGGGGAGGAGTCAACTCCCCACCCTCCCTACCCCCAGTTAGAGCCACAGGGGGGACTCTGGCATCTCAATGCCTTTGGAGACCAGATGAGCAGAAGAGTGGTTGGTTATTTTTAAATTGAGAAAACTGAATGGGAAGGGAGAAAACCTGATTCTTGTGATCTCTTAAGGCCCCTTCCAGCTTCCAGATTCTCCCAAGGAATACTGCATATGCACATACATATGCACACGCTTCTTTATAAAAATGTATACGGATGTGTGTGTATATATATAAATGAGTACAGTATTCACACTTCCAAACACAAAGTACTTGAAATGCACACTGCTGAGATCAAAAGGCTAGTGAGCTGCTTTGCAGCAGCTGGGACTGAAGCACACAGATACCACTGACAGATCTGGGCAGAGCCTAGCAGCTCTCCTGACATTGCAGTTCACCTTAAAACCAACTGACTGGTGGCCATTTGGGTAGCTGCAAACCCTGCAAAACTCCATAGACGCTTTCTCCTAGTGATTCTAGTCACAAGTGTCCAAAAGCCAGAAGTTCAGGCTGGAAAAAAGGAAGGAGAGGAAAGAAAATGCCCAAGCCCTATCTCCAGACACCCAGCTCCACCACAAACAGTAGGCTGGCAGAGCAACTTCCTTCCTCTAATTCAGTTCCTTAAAAGGGCAAAAAGGTCACTCTCTTCCCACCTTGATTTTCAGGGGTCCCCCCTCAACACGTTGATCACAGGTACATTAAGTTGAAAATTGGAGAAAACTATAAAGTCCTCTAAAAGGAGGAGCTTCACTCTGATCCTATACTGTCAAACAAATTTAAGGGTGTCCATCTCAGCCCTGAACAATCAGAACAAAAATAATTTATAGCAAAGAAGAAAGGAGCAAAAATCCCTTCAGATGAATGAATTGAGATGGTTTATCCCAGGTTGTTATTTTCTGGGATCAGACAAGAGTTCTGATCCCGCGTCAAGAATCAAAATGTGGGTGACAGAGGCCAATATCCGGGATGCGATAGAAGTAATAACCAACCAAGTCGCTCAGGTCCTGACAAAGAGCTGGGGAGCTTTGGGTTTAATTAACTTGCTCTCCACTTACAGACCATTAGAACAAGATCCTCCTCTTAACACTTTGTTGACAGATGTACTGCCAGCCCACAGGAACAGTTTGCCTCCCTTCCAACTTCACAGCCCCAGTAATGCCCAACATTTCCTAAACGGGCCAGCAGGGCCGGGTGCAGACATTGGCGTCCTCCCAGTGTTGGGTCCTGGCAGGCAGAGCCAGAAGTATGGGGCCTTAGACCTCCACTAGCGTCTCAGAAAACCATAAGCATCACCTTGTCTGTGCAGCCCAAAGATGCTTGGCTGTTCTTAACGTTGCTGGACAATGCAAGCGCCACCCCTTCGCTCTTCGACAGGGTGGCTAGAAAAGCGCGGCTTTGTGTGTGACAGCGAGTGTGCGCGCGCGAACGTCCCCAGGCTCACACACCCCCTTCCACCTAGCCTGCTTGCAGCTCCCGGTCTGTGCGCGCGAGGGGCGCATTGCGAGAGAATCCACCTGGCAGACAGCCGCGCCACCAGGCCTCTGGCCACACGGCCTCGGGGAGTAGGGAATGACATCCACGCCCCAGTGCCCAACCGCAGGGATGGCCAGAGAGAGCAGAACCCGGAGCCCAGCAAAGGCCAGGCAGGGGCCAGGGGCACAGAAGGGCGACAGGAGGGCACAGCGCTCCCCACTCACGCAACCCCCCGCCCCCAACTTTTGGAGCTGGGGGCCAGGGCTGCTCGCTACTCGGCAGGAAGTTCACAAGACCGCACTGAGCATGCTCTTGGGGAGTGTGTGCGCGGGTGTGGGCTCTTTGCTCCCTCAGCCTCAGCGACCCGGCAGCCGCGCTCAGAGCTCTGGCCGGCTTGTGGTCCAACCCTTAGTCCCCAAGGGGCCCTGGGGCCCGAAGGGCCTGCCTGATCTCCTGGCCCGGAGAGCCTGCTCGCCTCCTCCCTCCTCCCCAGGAGCCCGGGGCCAGTCCCCCTCTTTCTTCTCCCCCACTGGCCCATGGACGAACCCACCCTGCGCGCCTGAGTCCCCGGGACTCCAGCACGGCCCACGCCTGCAGCATGACCCCATCGGGCTCCTCCAAGGTTCGAGCGCCCATCTGCCATTCCCGGCCGCTCGCCTCCAGCCTGTGCCATCAGAGCCTCCTCTGGACAGGTCCAAGGAAAGCTTACAAGCCTCCTCGACCCGCGGCCTGGAGGGCTTCATTCTCCCCTTGGGAGGGGCTGCCCGGGGCAGGTGGGAGACTCACGGCGCGCCCCCCGGCTGCACTCCTGGGTCCCGCAAAGCGGCTGCGGCCGGGGAACCCACGCAGCCCCGGAGAGGCTGCAGGCAAAGCCTGGGGCTGTGCCGCCTCCTGTGCAGGTTCTCCAGCGCACCCCTGTGCGACTCCCCGATCCCCCCGCGGTCCCCTCTGTGTGCATCTCCCCCCGCCCCGGGGATGGCGAGCTCCGACATGATCGACCGACCCAGCAGCTCTTACCTTCTTGTTGAGCAGCAGCAGCAGCAGCCGGGATCACCTCCCGCCGCCCTGCCCACAGGGCCCGAGGCGCAGCTGGGCGCGGGGTCGCGGCGCCTGGAGCCTGCGGCGCGGCTACCTGGGCTGGATCGCGCCCGGGGCCGCCGCCGCCGCCGCCGCCGCCGCTGAGCCGCAGGGCCGCCGCCGAGCGGGCCGCGGCAGGGACGGTCTGCAAACTCCCAGCCCTGGCGGGGCCGCGCACAGCGCGTCCACACTCGGCCGACGCGCAGTAGAGACAGTCCTCTGGGGTCCAGTGGACCAGGGCAAGGGAGTCCGCCCGCGATTTCTTAAAACCCTCTGCCACCCGACCTCTCCAACTTCTCTCTGCTTCTGAGCTCGCGGCTCGCGGAGGCAGGGATTCCGGCCAGGGACATTCGGCAAACTCCCCGCCCTCCCCGGAGGAGCGCTCAGCCAATTCGGAACGCCCCAGCTTTTCAGGGGTTGTCTGCAAACTCTCAACCCTGTCGAGGAGGACTTCCAGCCTCGCAATTCCGCAGCCCTAGGGGAGACCAGAGAGAGCCAGACCTATTGTAGCCATAAATAATGTTCTAGGGGCAGCGTGCAAATGCTGATATGACCATGTATCCTCCAGAGTGGTGCAGTCCAAGCCTGTAAGGACCTGTGGACTTCCAGCGGTGAAATCCAATGAGGATGAGATTATAGGCTCAACTGTCTAGTGGTGCAGGCAACTTTAATAAATGCCCTGAGGCTCAGTTACTTCCTTTGTAGAATGGATTAAATGAGGCCGTAAGAGTTGCTGCCACTTGGTTTTTGTGACCTTGTGCAAGCCACTTAACCATTTGGGATTCAGCTGCTTTATCTGTGAACATAATAAATACAGATTCATGAGGCTATTGTGAAGATGAAATAAATGTAAAGTATTTAGTAATACCTGGCATATAGTAGGCACGTAGATAAGGAATTTGGTTCCTCTTTCTCTGCCCTGCTTCCTGCCCCTGATTTTATGAACACTCTGGACATATACCCAACCATTATACTGTTGTAAATTCAAAAAGAAATAAAACACATCCCATGCCCTGAAGGGACCACAAAGAACACTGACGGGCATGAAATGTTAAATCTGAACCTCCAGACAGAATGCCTTACATTCACTAAGCATTACAGATCCATATTAAGTCATATCTGTAATGGAGGAAGAGTGGGCTGGTGAATTACCAAGGGGTGAAAATGACAAGGTTCGTAATCCCAGCATGTCCCAGGTTTTTTTAACACTACTTCAGGTTACAGTGAAAGAGTTTATGTTTAAATTCCTCTGACCTTCCCTACAGGATTTCTCCATCCCATTTCCCTGTCCTCCTTGGGTGTCTTCATTCTTGGTCTAAGATCACCCCATCCTGCTGCTCAGGGTTTTCAGCAGAAGCATTTAGAAAGAGAGGATTGTAGAAATTTTAAACTCTAGAAACAATTCAATTCATCTTCATATTGTTAAGTAATTTCTCAGGACCACACACCCAGTTAGGGAGGTCTCCTGACTCCAGGACCTTAACACACCCTGTGGCCTCTCTTGCACAGAGAGTTTGAGGCACCAGGTCAGTTTTCCCTTTAACTTGAACCTGGAAGAAATAACTGGAATTCTTCCCCATCAGATGAGCCACACAATATCAGCCACTTGGGTCCTCAGCTGTCAGGAATTGTCCAAGTAGTGCTCAAGGACCACAAGGAAATCTTCACGGACAAGACAATTCCTCTTCATAAGAAAAAGACCTTTTGTTGAAATCCCAGGAATCCCAAGGCACGTATTTCCCTCAGTCCCTTGGAAGAAAATAATGTCTCAAGCTTGCTTCAGGCACCAGGAGGGAAATAGAAGAATGGTGACATCTGGTGGCCAGGCCTTTCTGTGCCGAATATGGATAGTACAGATCTAATCATTACAGATTCGATAAGAAGCCAAGTTCCCACGGGTGGTTAATTGTACCACCTGGTTGCCTAAAGATTTCTAAAAGACATTAATCATTTAAACTTTATGGTTATTACAGATGGTTTTCTCAGAAAGTTTTTTTTACAAAAAATATATGTATATGTAGAGAGAATAAAACGGTGTAAATCCATATTTTTATATGTATATGAATTTTCTATATTTGTATTATATAGTCTACTTCTTTATATAAATAATATACTTGCAAAACCTTTGAAGAAATTAACACTTTCTCAATTGCTTTTTCCCACAGAGTTAGGATTGCAATTTTTTATACTAATAACTGCCAAAGGACACTGCTCGTAGATATAAAGTTGCTCACTAGGATGGAGTTATCTGTTTGATCATGTCCTTTCAAGAGAGGGTTCGTTACAAACTTAGGAAGAAAATAACACAGTGGACTTTCAATAGTGAAAACCTTGACAAGTGATGGTCAAGGTCATACCTGGTGAACAGGTATCTCTTTCTAACAGTATACCACTTGTGAGCAACAAGTGTTAGGTTAAAAGAAGAGAGATGTTAGGAATTTTTCACAACAATACCACAGTGTCTGTTGGCATTGCTAAATCTTCTCTATGTTGCTCCATGTCTTCCCATATACTTGTCACAGGTACTCTATGTTAGTTAATTGCCCAATTATAATCATAGAAAACATCTCTGTCCATACAATCAAGTCCATTGTTTTTCAGCATCTCTATGTGAGTTACATTTATCCTCATAATAATTTACGAGTAGATTTTATGGTACACATTTGATACAAACAGCATCCAAGACTTTAAAAGTTAAATAATATATTCATCAATAGACACAATTGATAAAGATCAGAGCCAGAATTGAAACCAAAGTTTGTATGTCTCTAAAGTCCAGAATCTTTTACACCATACTGCCCACATTAGACCACATGTAAGAAATGAAAATTAGGGTGGAAACTACTCTAAAGCAGTTTTCCTAAAGCACATTTCTTGATCTATTCAAATTGTATAAAAATTATAAGCAACAATTCTGTTTGTAAATCTTAAAAATCTGGGTCCCATGTGACTCAGTCTTGGAACAGCTCTCTTTGAAATACACAAATGATATGTTTTTCCTGCCTAGGACTTTGACTATCTTTAATGGCTGGAGGAATTATCTGTTACATAATCCTAGTGGAAGGTAAAGCTTCTGACCAAGTTTTTAGGGCACCATTGCTAGCAGCAGTACCCAGAGACTGATCCATAGCATGAGAATGTAGGCTGCCATGTCTGGCACTCAGTGGTGAAAGTGGCAGCATCTTCACCTTACCAGTTCTATGACATAGTTTTAGGAGTTGTTTCTAGATGCATGCCTCTGAGCCTTACTCTCCACTTTCCTTTAAATAAATTCCTTGTCTCCTAATAACAGTCAGAGTGTTTCGGTTGTTAGTACTGAAGTAACCAGAGGGGATGCAGACATTAGAATCAAGAGGCACAAGACTTGGGGTGGGGGAGGATCAAGGATGGGGTATCTAGTCTCATTAAGGCCTGGGTTGAAAACCCAGTGGGGAATGATATTGGCCAGATTATATTTCTTTATAGTGTGTGTGTACAAATATGTAACAACAAATCCCATCACCATGTATAATTCTAATGCACCAATTTAAAAAATGGGAAAATAATAATAATAAAGAAAACCCAGTGGGTTTAAAAGTTTTTGATGCAGGCAGCTATGGCACCTAGTGGCAACAATTTATTAAATTCAGCTCTGGAGATGTAGCTCAGTTTTAGAGTTGGTGCAAGGCTCTGGGTTAAATCCCCAGGGTTCAATCCCCAGCATCAACACATACACACACACATAAACACACACACACACAGAGTTTATTAAAATGTCAACTGTAGTTACCTAAGTTTTAGGGAAACCAAGTGGCAGCTAAGGAATGTAAGGACTGGGGAAGAAAGGTGGTTGTTTTTTATGCAGTTGGACAACTTAAAGAAAGAATAATAAGCTCAAAGTCCTGAATTTTCAGGTCAAAGTACATATAGAGTAGGGATTTTCTATGACTTCTGAAACAGACAAACCAAAAACTAACAACAATAAACAATAAAACTTATTTTTAACAACTAGAGGCCAAGACAGGTAAAAAAGAAATAGATACCATGGGTTACTAAATTACAATTTTCTTGAATTCACAGTCACTCTCTAATTTGAAACCAAGGACACCAATTAGAACAGAGTAGAACTGAGGAGAGACTGGAAACACATAGGAGAATTCAGATGACTGGCTTCCCTTGCCAAATGAAGGCAATAATGAGGTCCTTGCTGAGTTGATTGAGGTCCTATAATCGGCAGGCAGAGGGTGTGGCCTTGAAACCTCAGATCCCAGCATGCTCCAAGAGGTCAATTGAAAAGGTAAACTAGGAAGGGAAAAACTTATTCATCCATGAGTTGTGAGATCCTGCTAATTTGTAAAAGCACCAATCTGAGGGATACACATGAAGACTGATTCTGAGAATACTAGACCAAGGAAGAAGAACACAGCATTAGATCAGGCTGAAATGATTGATGTGGAGGAGTTGCCAGATTCTAGACTCACTGAGCAGTTGGGAGTAGTGTTCATCATCTGCTCAGTTGCCTGCTAAAATCTAGACTCATGGGGGCTGGTATCAGTAACAATGCTGACACACAGGAATCTCTTACTACGTGCTGAGCACTGTGTTAAGTAATTTTCTACATTATTTAATCCTAATTTTTTAAAAAAGCTTGAGATATGTACTATTGTTACCGCTGTTGACTGGTGATGAGTCCTTGCTTCCCCAATGTTGAAGAATAACACCAGAGAAGCACGCCGAGGCAAGGTCAGAGTGGAAAATTAGAAGTTTATTAAAGGATAGCAGAAAAGACTTCTCCCGGAGGAAGAAGGGGACCCAAGAGGTGGAATCCGTGGAAGTGCGGTTGTCTCTCCATTTTATAGTTTTTGGTGATGGAATGTAGGTGGGAAGGCCAGAAGGGTTGGGACACAGGTGGGCCAAAGAAGTAATCTGGGCAGGAAGGACTTCATTAACACTTCTTTGGGATGGACTATCTTCACATCTGCTGGGGCTGTTAATTAACATTTCTTTGGGATGAACTTTGGGCCTAGGGCTTTTCT